TATCCCAGACAATCTACAGAGATTTAACTTGATTATATTTCCGTCCAGATGTCCTTTTTGCAGAAATCATTGTGAAACTACTAATCATATTTTCTGTAGCTGTCCTTTTATTATGCATATTTGGAGTTATTTCATGGGTGTCTTTGGCATTGTTCCTCCTAATTATGCTTCTATTAGGCAGCTTCTTATTCACTGGTGGCTAGAGGCCGGTTCTAAAACACTTGCAGACATTTTCAAGCATAATTTGCCCGGCATTATATGTTGGCACATATGGAAGGTATACTCTTCCCATATATGGGGAAATAGTTCAGTCCCAGGCTTAGATGTCATAATTTCCCAAATAAAAATGTATACACAGAGATGGTCTTATACCCTAACGAAAATCAAAAGAAGGAAAATTGAGCCTTTTCTTTTCCAAGAACACTTGATTTCAAGTAATTTCAAGTTTAGTATGTTGGGGTATCAGATTGTTAAGTGGAAGAGACCTAAGAAAAGCTTCAAACTGAACGTAGATGCTTCGTTCATACCTGGGTTGGCTAAGGGCGGTGCAATCTTGAGGAACCGATCCGGGGAAATGATTTGGGCAATTTCCTTTAAAGCTGAAGCTGGCTCGAGTGATGAGGCTGAAGTGAGGGCTCTGATTTATGCGTCGGAGAAGGCAATGGAGGCCGGCTTGGAAGATGTTGAGGTGGAAACTGATGCTTTGAGAACTCTGGCCCTGCTTGAAGACGGATCAGGCAACTTTGCTGGGTTGGAAAATTTTAAAAGGAAAGCATTAACTAATCGCTTTTCCTTCGGGCATATCTACCGCGAGGGTAATGGGCCGGCCCATTGCTTGGCTGCGATTTGGACTGGACTGGCCCGATGTATATTTTTTGATAAAGTTGATCTTCTGCCAGTTGAGGTTAAGAATGAGTACTATTCTGATTTATTTGGTTTTCCTCACTTTCGTTTTTAGCCGGTGTTATTTTAATTTAGGGTTTGGACTTGTCCCCCTAAATTCGTGATTTTCAGTTTCTTGCATGTATTTCTTAGAGGTATGCCTCTACGGAGAGTTGTTTGGATGTGTCCCTCTCTTCCTTGTATTTCAACTATTATCATAATAAAAATCTGGCAAATGTTCCCCGGCATTTGCCCCACTGATTTTGGTGGTTGACCTTCCGGGGTAAAAAAAAAAAAAAAAAAAACGGATCCGGACTATTACAATTCCAAAAGCAGCATGCATGGATTAATATATGGATTGGATGGTATCAAACAAATAGGAGAAAGTCCAAACTTCACATAAAATAGGAAGGAAAGTCATATGAAATTACGGCTGATTTTACGAGAATGTCTACTCCACCAGAAGGCCCTTCTAAAAGAAACAATACCCTATCCGATTTTGTAGACAAGGTAAAAGTGCCTTCTATTGTTTCCCAATTGTTTGGAGAAACAGGTTTCCTGCACGTAAGTGGAGAATCAGTGAGACATATTTTAAAGTTTGTAAGTCACATACGTAGTATATTGTCATATTGGTTATATTGATAATTAATGAACGATTTAGACTTTTGACTCATATAGACCAATTTCCCAAAATTGCAATTTGAATCGACAACAAAAAAGTAAAATGACAAATAAGGACATACAGTGAGAAAGTTAAAAGTCAATGAAATTAAATTCAAAATATATAAACGTTCATATATACTCCCTCCCTGGCTCCGTCCCTGTTTTATCTCCCCTTTTGACCCAACACGGGGATTAAGATCATGTGTATTGTGTGGTGCACGCAGAGTTGTGCAGAGGAAATAAATGTGTAAAAATTGTTGTGAATCACAAATTCTTTAACAAAAAGAGAAAGTGAAATAATCTCGGGTCAGACGAAAAAAGGAAAGTTTGAAGATAATTTAGGGACGGAGGGAGTATGTAATTTAGAATAACTTAACCCAAATAAAATACTCCGTACATTGTACTCTCTAAGAAAGTACGGAGTATATCTTATGTAGTACAAAAATACTCCCTTCGTCCCAAAAACAATTTCACAGTTTGACAATCACACAGATTAAAGCTTTGTTTGCAAGTGCTTGTGCTTAAATAAAAGCATTTTTTGGAACAAAATGATTAGTAGTAAAAGTTAGTAGTGTTTGGTAAAATAAGTGTTTTTTGTGTAATAGAAAAAGTAAAAAGTAGATTCTACACGAAAACCGAGAAAGTAAAAATTGGTAGTGTTTGATAAAATAAGTACTTTTTTCTTAGAAAAAAAGCCACAATCACTTAAATTAAGGAGTTGCAAACAGAGCCTAAGAAAATAAATTTGAGTTTACTGTAGAGTGCATTGTTTTGCACTGTTTAAACACTGTTTGACACTGTTTGGACACTGTTTGACACTGTTTGGACGCTGTTTGACACTATTTTGATGTAAATAATTTGTCAAATAGGAAAGTGTTGAAGTGTGAAGTTAATTTTGGGACATCCATTTAAGGAAAGTGGGAAGTTGATTTTGGGACGGAGGGAGTAAAAGAATGGAGCATTGCAGGAGTTTTTTTCGAGATTAATATTAAATAAAAAACTATTTACAAAATTAAGGTTGGTTTAATAATATTTCCCAAACTAGTGCCCAATTCAACCCTAGTTAACAAGAGCCGCCAACTCAGTTGGCAACTTTAAGCGAGCGTCTTAAATTTAAGAACAATGCTAACGGATCCGGAGTCTCTACCTTACTTTAGAGTTAGGTAGAGTGTCATGCTTCCTCCCGGTCGTCCGATCGACAATTCAACGTTCGGAGATCTTAGGCTCCAATGCTAACATTGTCATCGGCAGGAGTTAATAATGGGCAGCTACCAATCAAAATCAACAAAATATGAAACCCCCCCTTTTTTAAAATGACAATAAAAAATTAACTTTTATATGACATCAATATTGCATAGATAAAAAATAAATAAAATAAATATGAATATATGAGGGTGGAGATATTTAGGCTCAAGTCGTTACTCTAAAAAAATTATTTTAACCCAACTTTTAGTGATGGAAACGAACAAAGCTAGGTAGTATATTGAGTATGTTTGACATAATTAGTTGAAAAAAACATTTTCTAAGCTTTTTGATAACTACTACGTATTAACTTTTACTTACCGAAAACATTTTGAAAAGAAAGATGATTGGTTTTTCATAAAAAATTGGCTGTTAGATTTAGTTGAGTTTTGGTATATAAACTGTTCTACTAATTAATTAATGCTAAACATTACACACTTTTAGCTGATGTTACTATATGTAAATTCTCAAAAATGTCTATTCTCTTAAAAATAGTCGTGTGAACCATACAACTAAAAGTTTTTTTAAATAATATATATACGTATTAAAAATAAAAGGTATGGACTTGTGTTACGAAACATTCACATAGTATATGAGTCCATACCTTTTATCTTTTACTATGTATATTATTAAAAAAAAATTAGTTGTATGTTTGACACGATTATTTTAAGATTTATTTTTAAAAGAAAAGACATTTTTTAGAACATATTATAACATCATATAAAAGTGTGAGTAACTTTTAGCATTAATTAGTCAGAACAACTTATACACCAAAACTGAACTAAATCTAACAACCAATTTTTTATGAAAAATCTATCATCTTTCTTTTTAAGACATTTTGAGTATAAGTAAAAGTTAATAGTTTTCAAAAAACTTAGAAAACATTTTTCCCACTAATTATATCAAACAAACTCAATATACTACCTAGCTTTGTTCGTTTGCATCACTAAAAGTTGGGTTAAAATAACTTTTTTAGAGTAACGACTTGAGTCTAAAAGTCTCCACCCTCATATATTCATATTTATTTTATTTATTTGTTATATATGCAATATTGATGTCATATGAAAGATAATAAAAATTTTTGAATTTTGATATAATTTTTATAAAAATCAGATAATAAATAAATAAGTTATTGTCATTTTTAAAAAAGAGGGGTTTTCTAATTTTGTTGATTTTGATTGGTAGCTTCTCATTATTAATTTAGGATTGCTCTTTGATTTCAGTAGCTCGTACAAAGTCGGCCCTTGTTAACTATGGTTGAATTGAGCAGTAGTTTGGGAAATATTATTAACTCAACTTTAATTTTGTGAATAATTTTTAATTTCACATTAATCTAGAAAAAAACTCGCATTGCAGTAGGTATATAACCGCGTGCATGATCTGTGATGTGTCATAACTCATAAGGTTCACTTGATAAAATAGTGATAATAAATGAAAACTTTTTATACTCCTTCAATCCCAAATTGTAAGATACATTTACTATTCACTTGGTCAACATATAAATCACTTTTCATATTGTACTTTATTTGTCAGTCAAACATTGTAAACCATAAAGTATCTTACAAATTGGGACGGAGAGAGTATTTCGTATTAGCTATAGGTACATAGTAAAAAGCTTTATTAACAATGCATATATGTAGATGATACGGTACCTTCCAATAAAGAGATGTTGAGCATCCAAGTTTTGGTACTCCAGTCTTAGTGTGGCTTGGATATCTGTCAATCCCACAATGTTACCAGAAACTCTAACGCAAGCCTCCACTGCATAAGGACAACCTTGACAAACACGATTGGTGATATCTTGCAGCAAGCCGTGGTAATTTGTTCTGCGGTTTGTAATGAAAGCGTATGAGCTTCCTGAATCTCCCTTAACCACGTGTCCTTGACAACCATTGGTTTCCCATTTGAGGAATCCTTGACTGAAGTCATAGTTAAAGATTATATTATTAGCAACTTGAAGAATATGATCATGATCGCGTCTCCTTTCAATCCCTTCTTTCTCCTTTTGATCCTGTGTGCATGCATGCAATAGAGTAAATAAGTTTTGCGTAAAAATTAAAGTAATTCCCCTAAAATAGAACAAAACCGAAATAGAAACACATGTTAATTACACATGGAGAACTGAAATAGCAACATACGCTGGCTAGAGAGGAAGGTGAAATGGTGACAGATTTAACGAGTATGTCTACGCCAGCGTCGGAGCCTTCCAGATAAAAGACGACTTGGTCTGGATTTGTGGACAAAGAAAACGTGCCTTCGAGAGCTTCCCAACAGTTCGGCCAAACGGTCTTTCTGCAGTACTTACAACAATATTAATTAGGGTTTCTTTGATTTGTTAGTGAACTACCTGCGTAAGAGAATGCAGAGAATTAAGTGTTGCTTTTTTCTTTTTTGAAAAGTAATACGTGATCCACAACAATTCACTTTATTATACTCATATTTCAATCACAATTTTTCATTTTAAACCACTTTATTAATAGTTGTTCCGAAATCAAATGAGACATATAAAATGAGACGATGTGATATTACTCAAGATTATTTCATACACTGTACCGAGTATATGTTTGGAAGTTACGGAAAAAGAATTACGCAAGGACGGAGCTAGGTGTAGTGTTAGGTGGCCTGGCCCCCAACATTTTTATTTGTTCCTATCACTAGTATTAGTTACTAGTATAAAATAATCAGAAAATATTGGGTCAGAACTACTCGATAGAAACCTCTATTTGAGATGTTTTTGCGTAGAATTTTTGGATGAAAGTTTGAAACAATGTTTTTCATGAAGTGTAGATTATGAACACCAAATTTCAGTATGTGTGTGTGTATTGACACAATATTTTTCAACAATTTATTTAATTGACTTTCGATTGAATTTTGATGTAAAATTCATCAAATAATCAACCAGGAAGCACCTGAAACATAGGCGATCATACAGCGGATCCTGTCGTGTAGTTTTGATATAGGATCATTCCTCCTGAATTACTTTTATGTATGTGATTAAAAATATGAAAAATGTGTTTTAATCCTCAAATAGATCTTACTTAGACCTATTGAAATTAAAATGATTTGATTAAAATTTGTCAAAATCAATCATAGTGAATAAGTCATATTTTGCGAATAAAATTAGGATAGTACTATTTATGAACTTTATTTTTATTTGTTTTAATGCTATTTAGTGAATTTTATGGTTATTGTTTGTGTTTCTTGTTCTAAATGGAGAAGTATATGGTTTAGTATGATAAATAAAGTGATCCTATAATAATATAAATATATAATGTGGAGTGGAACGAATAAAAGAAGACTTCGATCAAACGAAAATAATTAAAGATTGTTAAAATATGTATACCTTCCGATACAAATAAAGCACATGGCAGAATGTTTGTATACAAGCCTGAGGGTGGCCATAACTGCAGTAGCCATCCCGGCGGGATGTTTTCCGGCGACTGTCACAAAAGCGCGGATTGAATAAGTGCAACCTTTCGAGACACGGCCAGTGATGTCCTGCTCCATGCCTTGACATGCCTCCTCTCTATTTGTCATCACAGCATAAGCACAGCCACTACTACTATCTGCTGGATTCACCACAAAAACTTTGCAGCCATTTGGGCGCCATTCGTGTAACCCATCTTTGAAGTCGCGGTTCTTGATGATATTACTGCTTTGACCGGAGCAATCCATTCTTTGACCACTTTTTTTTTTACCAAATCTTGGCCGGATGGATGTAATTGATCCAAGAGATTAGAGTCACAAACGTGTTTATATATTTTAGGTATTTATTGACTGGTGTTCATCCATAAAACTAAAAAGAGCCTTTGGAATTCTTGGCCTATTACAAATAACGCAATCAAGACAAAAACGTAACTGTTGATCGAACTATAGAAGATGAAAGGCCGGGATCGGAAGACGAAAGTACACCTCATGAGTGGGGGACCTAAAACCCCGTGCGTGAAAACATGTTTTTAAAATGGAAATACGACGTAGGTTTTAGGGATGGATTTAGGGGCCGGGGTGATTTCCCAATATACGGGAAAAGTTAACATTAAAAAACAAGAAAGGGGGAGTCAGATTTGGGTGTTCCGACCAGAGTTATCCCTGTCAGATTTGAGTGTTCCGACCATGGAGGCTAGCTTTTTTTAATAAGGTCATTTACCATTTTAATAAGTTTATTTATTTATTTGTACTTGTGAAAGGTTATTTATTTGTACTTCTAAATTGTAAAAGTAATACCATGATATTTTTGAAAATGAAAAATATACAGTTTGATTTATTGAATAACAAAACATTGGTTACTTTATTTCATGTTTTAATCCATCATCTGTATTGTGAAATAAATTCATAAAATGAAATATAAATTTGATTTTGTTTAAAATGCAATATTTGCAATTTTAATGGAAGTGAAAAAAACAAATGTTGTTTTAATGTAATTTATTACTCCTAAATAAATATGTACATACAATAATAAATTTAATACTACATGTAACGTTGCATGCTCGACCCTGGCATGTCCCCGCCGCCAGTGTTCTAAAACCTCATTGTGTCTTCATAAGTGGCAAAATATGCATCCGACTGTGTATAGAGTACTAATAAGAACCATAATTCGGCGGTGGCACAAAAATGAGAAATCTTGATGCGAAGAGAATTTGAGGACCCCGACGCATTTATGTGATTTAGATTTATCTGGTTAAAATTTATGTGGTTAAATTTATTTGAAGAAATCTTTTGATTTATTAAATTTCTCTTTTAATTTATCTCATTCTTTTTATCTGATTAAATTTATCTGATTAGATTTATCTGATTAGATTTATCTGATTAAGATTTATGGTTAAATTTATCCGATTAAATTTATTTGAAGAAACTTGTCTGATTAAATTTATCTGAATAGATTTATCTGTGTAAAATTTATTTGATTAAATTTATCTGATTACATTTATCTGATTAGATTTATCTGAAGAAACTTATCTGATTAAATTTATGTGAAGAAATTTATCTAAAGAAATTGAACACGTATATACCTCGACTTGGATTTTTGGCTTTTACTCTAATTGGTGCATGTATTTTTTAGATTTTAATTAAGAAATTATCCTAAATAAGACTAAAACATGGTTAAAACTCCAAAATAGGACTTGAAGTTTTAAATTGCCTAAATGGGACTCCAGATTACACTTTTGCTCTTCTGCAATTAAAACCCAACTTCTCGCTTCTCAATTCCGCTGCAAGTCATCGATGGTTCTGCTCCCTTCTGCAATTCGTCGGTGCGATAGAATTCATCGCTGCAGCTCCCCACATCCCTTCCTCCCAAGGACAGCAGCTTTGCCAATGGCTATGGCCACGCACCGCAGCTCCTCTATCGATCATGGTATCCTCCTCCTCTATTCTTTTTCTTCTTCTTCTTCCTCTTCCTCTTTCTCTTTTTCTTTCTCTAAGGAAGTTAAATAATTAGTGAAAATTTCTGCATATACAATGACACTTTAAAAGGCTACACCACCCCTAATATCATGTATTTTACTCAAGTCTAAAAACTTTTTCGTTTAGGGATGTTTCATCACTTTTGGATTTGAATTTTCTGGTCCTCTGTTTTCTTCTCCTTTCCATTTTTTTGGATTTGAATTTTATTTATTAATTTGGATTTTTGGATTTGAATGGTATTTATTCAGTAAAATCACTAGTAGAAAAAGGGCTTGTAGTGACACTAATTTAGTGTCACTGAAAGTTTCTGTGACACTAAAAAAGCGTCGGGGAAAGTGTCGGCTAGTGACACTAAATATAGTGTCATTGATCGTAAAACATAATAGTGTCAGTAAATTGTGACACATTAATGTTGTGCAAGATTATGACACATTGGTATCATAAAACTTTGTGACACATTTGGTATCATAAAAAAATACAACACATTAATGTTATACAAATGGGATAACGATTTTATAATAATCATTATTTTATTTGATACTAATTTTATTAAAGATTATAGAAATAATCAATAATCAAAATACAAGATCAACATTTGTATTTATTACTCAAATTATTTAGTGTCAATATCATTAAAGTACATTACAATATGCTATAAATCTACACTTTAACTATACAACATTTTTACAATATGCTATAAATCTACAACTTTTACAAGATTACTCAAAACTAATGAAGTATCAACAGTGTGCCAAAAGGGATATTTGAAGTGTGCAAAGAGGCGCTGATTTGCTCCGTCATAGTGTTGAGGAAGAAGTTCAGATTTCATTCAATGGTAAATAATGCTTCAAATTCAAGCCCTTGCTCCATGCCACCTCCCCATGATCCTCCAGGTCTTCAAGCTTTTCTTTATAGGAAACACAGGCAAATCAAATCAAACACGTTGAGATCTGGCCAGGAAGCTGCTGAAAATGCATATTCCTGAAGAGCACAATTTCATTGATAGAAATTTATAGTCATGTTGGTAGACCACATACAAGTTTTCTGATCAAATTGCCAAGGCTACATTACCCAAGAGATTATTAACAATTCATAAAATGACTACCCCTTTGTTCTCTTGTAGTTTTCAGTTTAGATTTACCTCAGAGGACATATTACCCTTCTTTGTCGATAATGTTATATACAGCCTTAGAGCATTAATATGGTTTTCTCGTCATACTATAGTATTTTATATTAAAAAAAAACTGGAATTTTATTACCTTTTTAAATACTAGGAACAATTGGTAAAATAACACAGGAAACATGAAATTGAGAAACATAGAAGTAAGGCAATGAAAGTAACACTTACTCAAACAGTTTTATTAAAAGAAGTGAACTCATCTGACAAGAATAACTGGCGTCGCATTCCGGTATTTATTTAGAAGCTCTCGGAGATGCACAAACACAAACCAAACTCCAAGTATTTATTTCAAGCCTAAAAAATGAGAATCAAATACGTAGAGGAGAAGAACTAAACCATTAATCTCATCCATTAGCACTCATTAACTCAAAAAATTGAAGAATGGATAAAGAAAATATGCAAAAGCAAAGGCAAATTAGTTAATGTTATGCCCACCTTTGTCTCTACCCTTCTTAGATGCTTCTTTTTACTGAAACCAATCCTGAAATGACAAAGGAAGTCAATAATTAAGGTTATATAATGATTTAGACAAACTGACAAAGAGGGGTGAAACATATACTACCTCCGTTCTCTTTTAATTGCAACATTAGATTTTTTTACATTATTCACATATTCTACTTTGATTATATTTTATTTATTAATGTATTATAAATTAATTTTTTTAAAAATAGTGTTCAATTCTTCTCATTCCAAATTTTCAAAATATGAATTTTTAAAATTTTTTGCTAATCAGGAAGGAAAGATATCAATGGTCAAACTTGTGCATTGGCAAACGTGAAATGTTGACTACTGCAATTAAAAGGGAACGGAGGAAGTATAAAAACAGCCTAGAATAAGAAAAACTATACACATATGTCCATAGTTCTCGACTTCTGTTTGACTAGAATAGTAATAGGATATTGAACATCCAGTTCAGGGTAATAATCTGACACCTCAAGAATCTTGTTAACATCACCAAAAAAAACCTGAGAAACCAATTGAATTAGGAAACTGGTTCTGCAAGAAAAAAATTAACAGTATAATCCAAATGTATGAAACTCAAATGTACATTAATTACAATTTTAGAACCAAAACAATAGACACCTGCAAGTTTGAATTTCTCAAAATGAAATGAGAAACATCAAAGAATCTGAATAGGTATGTATTACCAAAGGTAAAAATAACAATTAAATATTTTTATAAGAACTTAACCGAAGATATGTTTTTGAAAGAGCACTTCACAGAAGGTAGCAATAGGGTAGACTTGAAGTTCAAGAGAGCAATAAATTGGATTAGCATTGATTTATAAATAATAATAATAATAATAATAATAATAATAATAATAATAATAATAATAATAATAATAATAATAATAACAATAAGCAATTGATTTGAGATGGAAAGAAAGGTGGAGGAGCTTGAAATTCCATAGGTGAGAGTTGGAATGGTATCCTTGTGAGTATCTAAAATGAAGACATCAACAAGGCTGCACATAAAACGAGAGTTAGTTGTCCACCTGACAAAAGAGATATCAATACTGGAAATGTTTATAAATAAATCATCTTTACTACTATAGTTCATCTATATGAGAATATGTCATAAACTATTTGAAAAGAGTAGTCCATGGCTTAATAGCCCCTTCATTCTGTTTTGGAAAACCTGTAGCAGTAAGCTCCCCTGTAATCACATGTAATTAAATACCCAATGGTATCCCATCCTCCTGTGAAATCTGACTAGATGCCACCAACATCCCCTCATTCACATTCTGTCCAGTTTCTGGCACCTTGGAGTAATTTCCAGATTTCAGAACATCTTTAGCCTTGTGATTGGAAGAATTATGCTATGCAGATTTCCAAGCACATGGGACTGAATTCACTATATCAGTAGTAGATCCCCCTGCAATTTTCAAAGAACTCATGGTCGTAGTAGCATCAGTTAGTTTTGCAGTCTTCTTCACACTGATTCCATCAGATAGAGCTGGGAACTCCTCATCTGTGTCTGCCAGGATAGCAAACTGGGACCTGGTCACAGATCTCCCTGCATCTTCCGATGAACAACGGACTGTCTGTACTTCTTGGTATCCACCGAACAACCTTTCCCCGCTCCATCAAGGAGTTCGTAGTACGAGTATCAGCAACCTACAAACCTCAATTGCAGAAACAAAAACCTAAATTAAAGCTTTTACAGAAGGATTTGGCTATGAACAGTCTCATAAGTGAACAGAAAACTGACAAATAGCTTCAGTTCATTTTTGAGTTTTTGCCCAAGAATCATCTTTCCAAAAACAAATCGAAGCTCGAAAATGTAATTAGAAGGGAAATTCGACTCAGAACAGAAAGAAATCCCTAAAACAAACGCTAATCAAACGAACGCCCAATTGGTGTTTGTGGTCGTAATTCAGCGTTCTAAATCCAAATCCAAACATAGAAGTGGTACTAGTTGACCAATCCGACCAAGAACAAGAAGAGAAAACAAATTATAAGTCTCGAATCAAAACCAAACGTAGTGGATAATTGGTTGTGGAAGCTCTGGTAGGGTTTTGCGAAATCAGAGAAAGAAAATATGCTTAAAAGGGGAGGGGGAAAAGCTAAGTGTAAAAAGGCCGGCCCATTTGTAATTTGAACAGTGACGCGCGGGCCTTTAAGTTTACTCCGCAAAAAATGTAGAGTGTCACTAGATGATACTATTTATTTTGTTAGAAAATGGTGACACTTTTATGTCATTAATAACATTTTAATAGCATTTTATCAAAAAGTGTCACTATCAAAGTGTCACTATAAGCAATTTTTCTACTAGTGAATGCCACTTGTATAATATGAGAATGTCAAAATTATTGGTTATTTGAAAAAATAAATGTCACTTTTGTGGCACTACATTTACCAGGATGACAATCTGAAAACGTCACTTATGTTTCGAAAAAACCATGAAAGTGACATTATTACTCTGGAAATGTCATTTTCTTCTTTAAATTGACACCTTAGCAAATGCCTTTAAATGACATAAAAGTGACAAAGGATCTGCCCTCCAGTGACTTTGTGCAGACCTCCATGAGGAGTGCCACTTTATATGCGAGAATGTCATAAAATGCCTTGAGAATGACATTTGCTTATGGTCATATGACATTTTCATATTGTCATCTTGATAAATATACTGTCACAAACATGAAAGTTCTTTCAAATAACTAATAATTTTGACATTCTCATGTTATAAAAGTGGCATTTTTGCAAATAATCAAAATTAACAAATTAATAAAAAAATCAGGTTTGAATGTTATAGTTGATTAGTAATTTGTTGAAACACAACTCTTAATTTCATGTTTTTATATCCCAATTTAATCTAGAATCTTAAAAGTTCCCAAATTAGAAGAAAATAAAAAAAACAGATCAAAAAAGAGGCCCATGAAGAAGAACCAAAGAAAGAAGACGAGGAGGAGAAAGAAGGAAGAGGAAGAAGAAGAAAAAAAAAAGAGAAAGAGAGGAGGAAGAACCAGAGAAAGAAGATGAGGAGGAAGAAGGAAGAGAAGGAGATTACCTGGGAAATTATAGAAGAGATGCCCTGCTATGGAACTTTTCCGACGTGAATAGAGGATTGCGGCCATGGAGGTTCTAGCGTGAGTGATGAATGCAGCTATGGAGATTCAATTTCGGCGTCCATGGGAGGATGGATCGCTGCGTGTCTGGAGCAATAACGATGGAGGTTGTTGTGCGTCACTGTGTGCATCGCTCTTTTAATTAAGGGTAGTTTTGTCTAATTACCTCTTTTTAGTCCTATTTTTGTGAAATAAAACATATCAGTCCTAGTTTTGCAATTCTACTTTATTTTAATCCTATTTAGGTAAATCTCTCATTTTAATATATTGTGGGAAGTATAATTTCTTAAAACAAAAATAGGTGTTCTGCTTGTCGGATTTAGGAATTCCGAGAGGAGTAAAATGGAATTATGTGTTTTTTTGCTTTTAATTCACGGTGGGATGTATATTTTTTTAAAAAAAAATAGGTTCCCCTATTTTTTGGCATAATACCGACAAGAAGTGTTCCACGAAAAAATTTAACCCTAGCTCATAGTCGGAATACCCAATTCCGACTCCCGTAGTTTGGTAACCTAATTACATTTCCCGTATTTTGGCGTGTCAGATCAAAAAGTCCCGCATTTTGGCAATTTCCTCGGATTTAGGGCACTGTCAGCGGCGATCAACGCCTGGAATTCCAAAAATTTCTGCTTAGTATTACTCCTCCATCTCAAATTGAATGTAAAATAGATTTTTTTGGGTCAAATAGATTCACTTTATTCACTTAATTACAATATCAATTCTTAATTAAGTTTTAATTTTAATTTTAAAACTTTACATAGATTTTAATGTAATTTCTGAATATGTAAATTTTAAATACTAAAATTAAACTAATTATCAATATAGATGATTTAATTTAAACATCGTTTGGCAAAAAATGTTAACTTTGCAAAAATGTTTACATTGATTTGGCCCGTTTATACACCCCGATGTTGTCCAGCCCGGTTCGGATTGAGAGGATGTGTTAAAGCATTTGTCCCACACCAAAAAGCTATAAAATAATTACACACTATTTAAGAATTTAGACCACTCCTCCTATTAGGTTGACCTTACAGGATGAACCTCAGATCTTAACAAATATCGTTAAATATAACTTCAATATATAGGAGAATACATGGATGCATTGATTTGTATCATATCAGAAAGTCATTATAATTACTCCAGAGCATCAAACAAATACCAGAAAATCAAGAGTTCAGTTAATCCTCACATCACAAAACAAGGGATGGAAAGACATATGAGATTATGACTGATTTTACTAGAATGTCTATTCCACAAGAAGGCCCTTCAAGAAGAAACAATACCGTATCCGGCTTAGTAGACAAGGTAAAAGTGCCTTTCAATATTTCCCAATTGTTTGCGGAAACAGGTTTCCTGCAAGTAGTCAGAGAATTAAAGAATCAGCTTAATACCTATGTTTAAAAAACCGACCCGACCCGGCCGGGTTGACCCGGAACCCGGTGACCCGGACAAAAATCCGGTTCGGTTTCTTCAAAACCCGGAAATGGACAAAAACCGGAAAAACCCAGCTGACCCGAAAAAATCCGATCCGGACCCGACCCAAGAAACCCGAAAAACCCGGGAAAACCCGGTTTTCGGTCTTTTCCAAAAAAAAATGTAATTTCTTTTTTAATTTTAATGCATTTTTTAAACCAATAAAATTGCAATTTCAATTCCCTAAAACGAAAAACTATGTAATATATTTATATATTTATTTAAGAATGAAAATCATGCCAAATTATAATATAAATGTACAATACAAATAAAAATATATAATGAGAGTGTATATAATTATATGTTTATTATTATTATATACACGTATAATCATTGACCGGTTTTCCGGCTTTGACCGGGTTGACCCTCCGGGTCCGGGTTGACCCGTGACCCAGTCACATGACCGGGTCGCTCACCGGTCCGGTTTTTACAACATAGCTTAATACCCACTATTCGTAACATGGATGTTGGTTTGACCACAAGTATTAAGAAATTAAAGGATAAATTATTGTTACTCCGTCCGTCCCAGATTTATTTTCGGTTTTGACCATGCACGATTATTGAGAAAGTGAGAAATGTGTGGTGGAAAGTTGTGCAAAGGAGAGAGAAATATGTAAGAATGGTTATGAACCACAAATTCTTTGCCAAAAGGAAAAAAGGAGATAGTTTCGGGACAGAGGGAGTATATAGTTTTATTTTTATTTTTTTGACAAATCTTTCTAAGCCTATTATAGTATTTGTTCAGTTAAGGCCAACATATTTATGATGTTAACCCTCAAAAGCTAAGTAAATGTAACAGAGAATTAATAGGACTGTTGCTAAGAATGTGGTGATTACTAATTAAAAATATGAACAAACAGTTTATATTCCTAAATAAATGATGTTTTATACGGAGTACTAATTAGTAATTATATAGATTGAGACGGGCTTAAGTTGGCTAGTCATATATTGAATATTTATGAAATTTATAGACACGAATAATAGATAAATTTCCCACAAAGCAATTAACATGAATTCACAAAAACTAACAAGTGAAAGTAGTGGAGTTGAAGAGTGTTCATATTTAATTTGCGACAAAGAAAATTATCTATGATGCGTCATAAGGTTTACATACAATAGTATATGATAAATAATGATAATAAATGAAAGGTAGATTCTATGGTACCATTAAGCTATGTAATCTTTTTCCACATGGAGCAATCAAAATGAAACAGTTGAATTATTTGAATCTAAATTAAAAATGATATAATGAGTTGGACAAATCATGTAAATGGTAAGTACCGTACCCTATTTCTAAAATAGGTACCAGAGTTGTCAAATCTATTAAATATAATGAAAAATTAAGAATGCACATGCATATTGTCCAAAAAAATTAAAAAGGAATACACATGCATATAGACAATACCTGGCAATGAAGTGGCATTGAGCACCCAGGTTTTGGTACTCCAATCTGAGTGTGGCTTGGATATCTGTAAATCCCACAATGTTACCTGAAACTCTAACGCAAGCCTCCACTGAATAACTGCAACCTTTAGAAACATGATCGGTGATATCTTGTTGCAAGCCATGGTGAAATTGCGTGCGGTTTGTAATGACAGCATATGAGCTTCCGCAATCTGCTTTGACCACATGTCCTTTACAACCGTTGGTGTCCCACCTAAGAAATCCTTGGCAGAAGTCATAGTTCAGGATTATATTATTAGCAACTTGAAGATGATGACCGTGTCCCCTTTCAATCTTTTCTTTCTCCTTTTGATCCTGCTCGAATCCATATATATATGCAATATGGAATAAAAAAAGAAATTTCCCGAAATAGAAAATGCCAATTTAGACGGACACTAGCGTAGTCTGCAGCGCAATATATTGGGCTGGATCTATTCAAGGTAGATTCTATGATACTCTTAAGGTACCTACCATACTTTTCCCTTAAGGTATCATACCTTACTTTGTCTACTTGGACGAATCAGAATGATGCAGTTGAATTATTTAAATCTAAATTAAAAATGATATAATGAGTTGGACCAATCAAATGAATGGTAGCTATGGTACCATGTTTTTTAAATGAGTACCGGAATTTTCACCTCCCTTCAATGATTTCTTTACTTCAATAATTTAAATCAAATTGAAATTTAGAGTGGATCGAGTTTAGGTCGCCAGTCTAGTTACACCTGTCAACTTAATTTTATACTACCTCCGTCCCAAAAAGAGTTGCAAATTTGACTTTTCTTAGTCAAACAGTCTCGTTTTGTTCACTTAATTAGGATGTCAATTTTTAATTATATTCTAATTTGGAGTTTACAACTTTGAAGAGATTTTAATGTAGTTTTTGAATATGTAAATTTTAATTATTAAAAATTGAATTAAGTATCCATGGAGAGGGTTGACTTTTATTATTGGTTGACCAAAAAATGTTGACTTTGCAAAACAAATTGGGACGGAGGGAGTACTTAGTATGTTTTAAGATCTAAAAATATGAGTTTC